TTGAGAACCTTTTAAAAATAACTTTCATAAATACGAATTTGAAATTAATCTTAAATATAAGTTTTGATGGGTACAATCTTTGCATGGGCTACACGATCTTTATTTCAGAAGGTATAGTTACTTCAAAATCTCATGAGCCTTCACATTCACTGCATTCCTACTGTACATTATGAAAACATTGGCTGTTAATTATGTGGCTCGTTTAATAACCAGAGAAGCAGCTCAAGCTAAACTATAAACAATGACTGCTAACGTTTTTAAGAAGTGTAGAAATCAAAAATATTCACTAACTTGAAACGGATAATAGATATTGCGAGTGTACAAAAAAGGAAATTTTTTGTCATTCTTTTAAATGTTACCTAATAGGTACAGTAGACATGCCTAAATGTCTAATTAGTGTTTTACACTATAATGCAACTTTAATCAAACATCCACGGGCATGTTCAAAGTTTCGAAATATTTTTGTGATTTGATAATTCAACATGTTGTCGATTATTCGTTACTATTCGTTCAACACTAATTATTTACCTATATGCAAGCGAGTTCGTTAACCATATAAAGTAGACGATAAAAAAAACATTTCAGCAAAACAACAAGCAGGTGATCAATTAAGCTCTGTCGAAACAGAACATTAAATTACCGTTTACAAAGTAAAACCTGCTTCTTCAGTACTTTTTGTTAATTAGTAACAAAGGGAATATGTAGGTATATGTATAAATTAGTACCATTGTAAAATATTTAGAAGCTTCGGCTGTAAAAAAAATTGTTGCAAAGCTTGTATCAATTGTCCCCCCAAAAAAAAGAGAAATTAATTTCAATTAATTCACATTCAAACTTAAACTTATGTATATGTTAATTATAAAGTTTTTTGTTTTTTTTTCCTTTTTTATTTTTTACGTTCACTACAGATATTTATAGCATAAGAAAAATGGAGATGTTATGAAAGTTGACAATGGAATAGATACGTGTTTATAGTCATGAGGAGGGTACTGGATCAGGAGCTAGGGATTCCTGACAGAAATAGGAGTAAAGAGTGGCAGTGGTAGACATTCATCATCATTATCATAAGGGCGTCAGTCCTAACACTGGTTGGACACGCACCTCCACTCTTTCCTATCCTAAGCTGTTCTTCTCACTTCCCCAAAAATTAGAACAAACCACATCCTTGACTATTTGCCAACAGTAATCTAATCTAGGCCTACTTCTACCCCTCCTAACTCCCTTTTCTGCCTCTAATATGTCTCTGACTAGACCTTCATGCCTCAGAAGGTGTCCTACCAACCTATCTCGCCTATTTCTTATTGACTTCCATAGACTCCCCTGTTCTCCTATTCTTACTAATACCTCTTCATTTCTAACCTTCTCTATTAACAGTATCCTCATCATTCGCCTGCAACAGCACATTTCCAACGCTTCTAACCTTTTCTTTTTCGCAGCGCCCACCATCCATGTTTCGCACCCGTACAGTGTTGCACTCCAAACATACACCTTTAACAATCTTTTTCGAATTTCTATATTAACCGTTCGCGAGCATAAAAGTGACTTCTTTTTATTGAAGGCGATTCTACCCATCGCTATCCTTTGCCTTATATACCTAGTACTCCATCCGCCCTAATTTATCTGACTTCCTAGATACCTAAAATCGGCCATTTCTTTTAATTTTTCGTCTCCTATCTTTATATTCGCTCTTTCCCTACTTTTTCTTCCCTTGCATACCAATATTTTTGTTTTACTTTTATTTATTTTCATACAGTACTATTTTGTAGACATTACTGTTCGTAAAAAAAGATGTAGGTTTCTCTAGTTTTCGAGAAATGCGAGGATTGATTCATGATAGGAAGACCGAAGTTTTCAAGCACAATATACATTTATTACAGGTAGGGTGTATCGAAGTAACTTTTCGGTATTCTAGGCACACGAGCGCTTACAGCATTCGCGCACTTATTTTTTAATTTTTAATTAATTTTCTCATCATGACAATAAAGAGAATATTAACAGACTTTTACCTATTATTTCTGAAATTAACTCTGACTCAAAAATTATTTAAAAAAGGAAAAAATATCCGTAAATATTTAAACTTAAAGGTACAAAGGAATGCTCCATGGATTTACGTATCTTAATCCGTCACATACTGTTGCCACCAAGGTTATTATACCATCTTCTTCCTCCTGTACAGTGTACTTAAGTTTTTTTTATAACAAGACCTTCTGCTTGACGTGATCAATGACCATGATACTTCTGAATTGTGTCCATCAAACCGTGGTAAAATCCAAAATATTTTAACGAACGCGACACCGATGCTTGGGTACGTAACATAGAAAAAAGAAAGAAAAGACAAAATAACGAATAGCCATTTAACGTTGAATCATTTTCCCAGAACAACTGTGTATGTTGATACTGAGTTATCTTGGTTCTCTTTTACATTTACAACCAAGAAACTTATCGCAAGAATATCACCTGTCTGATGAGTACACAAAGTTCGTTGAACTGTTAATCTGACGACCCATCCCATGTATCATAGGTATGTAATATATAATGTGTTCATAAAGAAGTCCAATTTTTTTAACAATAATTGAAAGGAATTTTAATACTCTTATAATAGTCATTCTCTTCCTGTTTGTATGGTGTTTAATGCCATCACATATCATATTACTTACCTGCAAATTACTCCTTGTAATATTGTGTGTGGAAGCAATCAATGTCATCGAAAAAAATTTTAGATTAGGCCTTTTTTAAATCTGGATCTTGGAAACCGGAATGAGGGAACTAGTATAGTGTTCAGGATAGTTCATAAAAAAACACCTTCACGCCTTCCCGAGGAATAGAAATATCAGTTTTATGTGATCGTCGATGATCTTTGACACGTATTTAGAACACGAACGCGAGCGAAACCGCAGGTAAAACCTATCATGAAATTTTGTACAGACATTGTCAAGGGCACAGAAAAGGACGTAGGGTACTTTTTATCCAGAAAATAAATACTGTTTCCGAGGGATAGAAATATTATTAGTTTTATGTGGTCGTCAATGATCTTTGACAGGTATTTAGGACATGAACACGAGCAAAGCTGCTGGTAAAACCTATCATAAAATTTTGTACACACATTTTTAGGTACAGAAAAGGGCATAAGAAACTTTTTATCCAGAAAATAAATACTGTTTCAGAGGAATAGAAATATTAATCTTATGTAGCTGTCTATGATGTTTGACACGTATTAAGGACATGTACACGAGCGAAGCCGCGGGTAAAACCTATCATAAAATTTTGTACAGACATTGTCATGGGTACAGAAAGGGACGCGTAATCTACTCTTCCCTAGGGTTTGAAAAAAATAATTTTGTGGTCTTTAATGATCTTGAGCACGCATTGAATATTATCTGACTTCCTAAATGCCGAAAATCAGTTAAAGATTATTATTACTGCCTCAGAATTTGCCTAAGTGAAATTACAGAAAAACTTAGACCGAGCAGACGGGTCAGAAATCGAACCGGTGCCCTCCCGATTGCTAAGCAGTAATACAAAAGCTCTAATGTTAAAGTCTAACCTCTAGGGTCTAGGCTATGTCACTGGTTACCACTTAAGCGGAATCGTTTGCAAGATAATGTACGGTCATGAAATTGACCAACTCGAACATTAACAAATCGCTCTAGTAAAACGTGATTGACCCTTTTCCTAGGCAAAACATCTCCGATTAAATTGATAATAGTGATCACGTCCTTCTTTGACTAGTTCTCGAGTTTAATAATATTAATTACGTATCTCTCCTTTTTTGCAGTCGTTTGACTTCAGATGATCACGTTCAGACGAACCCGATGCCTGGCTGTTCGATGAAAATTTTTTCGGGGGATCCCACGCAACACGAAGTTGCCGAAAGCGTTAAAATAGGCGACCCCTTGACCCTCGTCGTGTCGATAGACGAACAGGACACCTACGGACTGAGAGTAACGGACTGCCTGGTGCGGGACGGACTCGGATGGGGCGAACAAAAACTCATCAACGACGACGGTTGTCCGCTTGACAAGGAGATCATGGGAGTCTTCGAGTATTCCAAGGGCAGAACGAGAGCTTCTGTGCAATTCCAGGCTCACAAATTCCCTTACACCGCATCAGTTTACTATCAGTGCAACGTCAAGCTCTGTCTAAAGTCTGATAATGGCTGTGAATACGTGACGGTAAGTGTGTTGCTGTTTAATTTTTGTTAGCGCACTGAAGTGTTATTAGTGTATACAGGGTAGTCGATTAAGCGCGTCTTGCTCTCTAGCGGTCTTGCCGTTGAAATTAGAAGAAATGTTTCCAAAAAAGAATGTTCTTGGTCAAATCATCCATCTGCAGCAATTAATTTTAGAGATGGCGGACTTCCGGAAGTGTACATCAGCTGCCTTATTTTAAATGGAACACCCTGTACAGTAAAAGTTATTTATTCACTGTTTCCGTATTCGCGTTTTCATTATTCGCGGGCGAAAAAATTTGCAACCCAGTTCCTGTATTCGCGGTTAAAAATTTCATTACTCGCGGTTGCAATCGGTAAACAGAAAAGGATTCGGTGTCATTTATCAAGGGGATTGACCGCAATAGACCGCTCGTGCCTCGTATGATAACAGACAAAGGTTCACACTAACTCGGTACGTATTTGTTTTCCAATAATATGGTCATTAAAAGCTTGTACAAGTGCTTAAAGTTGATGTTTCTTGTAGGACACGTATTTTCAATAGAAATTAAAAAATTGAGAAATGCCCTTCGACAAGCTTTAGAACAAAGCTGTATCTATCTTATTACAAAATTTCAAACGTCTGTTTTAAATATTAAACTTATGATATCTAGAACCGATAAGCATGTTTTTACTCTATGGCGCGTGTATCACTAAATCCCCTTACTGTATCGGAATCTTTTGAATAGAAAAGGATTCGGTGTTATTTTTCAACGTATCAGCATCTTTTGAGTACTATTGGCTCGTGCCGAGGCGATTTTTATAAAAGACGTATTAATTTCAAAATTCAAAACAAGAAAAAAATCACTAAATTTTTTAAAGTCTTACCTAAAGCTGATTATAACGATTAATTTTAATTGCGAATTTATCAATACATTGATTTTATTTTGATACATATTGGTTTTAGTTTGGAACCTTAGAACGTATCCCCTACGATTCCATACTAATTACCATGCCATATCCACGGNCAAGCTTTAGAACGAAGCTTTATCTAATTTACTACAAAATTTCAAACCTCTGTTCCAAATATTAAACTCATGATGTCTAGAACCGATAAGCATGTTTTACTCTACGGCGCGTGTACTACCGAATACCCTTAATGTATCGGCATCTTTTGAGTATGTACAGTTGGTATAAAAAAATCTAACCGAGCAGAAAAGGATTCGGTGTTATTTTTTAACGTATCAGCATCTTTTGAGTACTGCTGGCTCGTGCGTGCCGAGACGACTTTTATAGAAAAAGTGCACTAATTTCGAAATTCAAAACAAGAAAAAATCACTAAATTTTTTAAACTCTTACCTAAAGCTGATTATAACGATTAATTTTAATTGCGAATTTATCAATACATTGATTTTATTTTGATACATATTGGTTTTATTTTGGAACCTTAGAACGTATCCCCTATGATTCCATAGTAATTACCATTCCATACCCACGGTTTCTGTATTCGCGGCATATTTATGGAACGTACCAATATCCCGCGAATAAAGAGCTTTTACTGTTTATTATTACATTTTTGAATTCAGCATCGATTTTAATGTCGAGTTTGTTACACATTGTCCACTTTTGGACATTTAATGACACGGATTGTAATTGTCGTAGTTACTTGTTTCGGGGTAATCATTGTTGGTGCTTACCTACAATAAAAATTTCATGGAAAAAATCACGCGAAAATCACGAAAATGTAAAACCAGGTTTTCCTAAAAAGAAGGCAGAGAAATGACCCAAAATGGTTTTAAAACGATTTTTTAGAACACTATTTGTTCGCAAAGATTTGCTCTACAACCCTGCTATGAAAGTTTTATGAAAATCGATTCAACACCTCGAATATATGTTTGGAAAACAAGCCCTTTCTTATTTAAAGATTAAAGAATAGCGACGTATATTTTTAACCCACAGGTTTCACAAGTACAAAAATATTATTTCTGTTCAGAATTGTAAAATTTCGTCGCTTATGTCTTTGTTCCAGATGTTGTTATAAGACAGTACTACAGAATTATTAAATTAAATTATACTTTTTTGCAAATGTTTTTTTTTCTGTTCTGAACAACTTTTAAAGTGGCAAATACAATTCGACTTATTTTAAAGATGAATAGAAACCGAAACTTCCCTTCAGTACTTCACATTTCAAACAAAAAGCTAAAAATCTATTTTATTATTTCGATTAAAATATTTATAGTGTTTTAATTCAATTTAAAGTTTCTAACCGGAGTCATCAGAATTTATTCCGTTAAAATAACAACCATATGTTCAATAAAACAAATTATTCGTGAAGCCAATAACAAGTAAAAAAACACGTCTTTTCATATGGGTATTCTATTTTAGAAACAGGTTTTCAAATAAATTTGACTACTAACAAACGAGAATTAAGAAGTTACAACACATTTAATGTGCATGTTTATGATTAAAATCTA